TTTTTTTTTTTTTTTAATATATCTTTATTGATTTTCAGAGAGAGGGAAGGAGAAAGAGATAGAGTTGAAACTTCAATGATGAGAGTCATTGATGCTGCCTCCTGCACATCCCCGACTGGGGATTGAGCCCGCAACCCGGGCATGTGCCCCGACCAGGAATCAAACTGTGATCTCCTGGATCCTAGGTCAACGCTCAACCACCGAGCCATGTCCGGTCACGTGGACCGGTATTTCTTTATGTAACGAAACAACAGGATGGTACAGAGAGCACAAGGGATGGTGCCGTTTCATGAAGTTCTAGTTTGAGTAATACATCTTTATGTGCATTTGTGGGTATGTGTGTGTGTTTGCTGACCACCGTTGTAAATGTATTTCTTACTCTGGGTTGCAGTCAGAAAATTTGGAAAACACTGTATCTGTTACCACTACGAAGTGGAATTCAGACATGTGGGCTGTACTGAACGGTGATGAGGCACCAGTGCCTTTCTGCTTGGAAAATGGGGCATGGGGTGTAATACTGAGGATGGAATACACACATGCAGGTGGACACCTGGCCTCTTGAACAGGTCCTGTTACTTTTCATCCACTGTCCCTCTGCTCTCAGGCAAGATAGACAACAGTCACCACAGGGGAGGGCAGAAGTCGCTGGGGCCATTGGGGCCCTAGGAGATGAGGCGAGGCTGCTGGAGGCATTGGCCTGAGCTGCTCTCCTGTAAGCTCGCTGTCCTCACTGCCACCTCTGGGACCTGGTCTCGCTTCTCCTGCAGGAGTTCTTCTTTCACTGCATGGCGGGGCGAGAGGGTCTGGTGGACACCGCTGTGAAGACCAGCCGCTCTGGCTACCTCCAAAGGTAAAAAGCCCCTGCTTACCACCTTCAGTTGCAATCAGCGTCCGGTACCCTTCCCCGTCAGTCATCCACAGTTTCAGTGACAGTTCACTTAGAATTTCTTTGGATGAAGAAGCTTCCTTAAAATGTCCATGATTATCCTGAGACAGAAAATAGCAGATATTCTTCCCTTTTTAAAGATCATTAGCATATGAGCTCAGAGGTTTAGACAAAGGGCCCGTGCATTCTGGGGGAAGTTACCGGTGCGGGAAGGGTCTCGGTAGTGATGAGCTGGTCTTCTGCCCAGGAGGGCTTAGCAATCCAGGACAGCCCCTAGAGGATGCCAGTCCCGGGTCCCTGCCTGTTTGTCTGTAATTGGAGTTACTGTTTCTCCGGATGCAAGTGTCACTTTGGGGTCCCCAGCCTAGACCTACTTGCTTTCTCTCATCTCTGGGAGGAAAGAAAACAGCCGCTGTAACATACCTGTTTGAACAAGTTGGGGAATGAAGCTTCAATCTGAACAAGGCCTGGCTCCAGAGGGCACGGCAGATGGGGAAGCAGATGCCTGCACTCCAACCTCCCTCCCTCAGGATGCAGTGTGGGTGGCTTTGCCTTGGGGAGTTTTTGGCAATGGTTTTTCATGAGCCCAGAGAACCGGTGCTGGTAGAAGTGGTGGTAGGAAATGGCCTGGTTTTAAGTACATTCTCAGGGAACTCACTGGCTACTGGACAGAAAGGCAGAGCTCCTTTTTTTCTTCCCTCAAAGGTCTGCCTGTCCGCTCCAGCTTCTTTCTCCTGCTTCCCAGCTTCGCATTCACAAAGCTACAGCCCTTATTTTGCTCCATTCCCCTTGACTCCCAAAGCTGCAGCCCGTGGAGCGAGGGGCCCATCTGCAGAGCTGGCTGCTTCACTACAGTGGTCTGAGCTCCCCTCTAGGGGGCATGGATCACATAGCCAGTTCCTTCCATGAGCAGGGGTGACTCCCCACCTCCATCCTTTCAAATCATTTAAGAACACGTGTAGTGTAGAAAAAGTTAGAGAACAAATGATCAACTGAGTTGGGGGATGGGAGGACCTGAGGCCATTAGAATGTAGAGTGGGAAGAAGGAGGGTGTTGGGATGCTGGCTGGAACAGGAGAGCAGCCACCACTGGCACAGAGGGCACAGATCCTGCAGGGACCATCTGTGGAAAGAGGGTCATGGTGCAGGAGGCCAGTGCAGTGCTGCAGACGATCGGTGGAGGAGCCAGTGTGGCTGTGTGGAGGTGGGTGGTAATGGGAAGGGAGAGGCAGGTGTGGCGGACATGGGGCAGCTCACTGAAATGCAGGAGTGAGAGGCAGGGAAGCATCAGACCCAGCTGAGTTTTCAGGCCTCAGTGGCAGCACAGTGACAGAAGACAGATGCTGCAAAGGGGAGAGAATATTTGGGTGGCTCAAGCAGAACATTCAGGTATACACATTTCAGTGGACCTTAGGTGAAGTGTAAAGCTTAGGAGAGACCTGGAGGTGCAGCTTTGAGAGGCCACTGCTATGCTGAGCCGGAGCCCTATGCAGCACACATAGCAGAACAGAGGCTGCCTGCCACACAGCATGTCCAGCAAAGAGGAAGTGGGTGCAGAGCATCAGCCTTGCTAGGTGGGCTGGGTGCTGACTAACACAGCTCTGTTCTTGGAGCCTAGGGAACAGTGGCTCCTAGGAAACCTCCTCCTCAAGTGGCAGGAGGAGAAACCAAGGCAAAATGGCCAGAGGGCAGGGAAGGGGCCAGTACCTGGCAGCAGAGGGGAGAGACTGAGGGAGGCAGCTGACCACTGGGAAAACCAGGGAAAGGGCACTGGGTTCAGGAAATCACATCAGTATTTATTCCTAATGTCCTCTAGTATCCCTGACAGTGTCTCTGGATTGAGAGCATTGAAGAAGCATTGGGTGGGGATTTGGCCCCACTGCTGTGCCTGCCTTGTGGCTCTAAGGACACTTGTCCCTGGGGAACTTGCAGGGCAGCACACTAAAAGGGCAGCAGTAGTCTCAGCAGCTGGGGCTGGAGAGGGAGTCAGGGTTCAGCAGTGGCAGCCAACCTCTCAGGCACACGGCTGCAGCCCCAGCTGCTGGGAGACACTGCAGCTCAGAGCCTAGGCCTTAGAGACAGTCTCCTGGTGTCTAACTTGGCTATAAAACAGCAGTCCCTTTTCCACCTCCCACCGACTCCCTCCCCTGCCCCACGAGGTGGTGAGCTTGATGGGCCCTGAGCCAGGTCTCCACACAGGTGCATCATCAAGCATCTGGAGGGTCTTGTGGTCCAGTATGACCTGACGGTCCGCGACAGTGATGGCAGTGTTGTGCAGTTCCTGTATGGGGAGGATGGCCTGGACATCCCCAAGACGCAGTTCCTACAGCCCAAGCAGTTCCCCTTCCTTGCCAGCAACTATGAGGTAGGTGCCAGGCTCCCGGCGGCCAGGGGTGTGGGCTCTAGGCTGTGCCATACCTTGTACTCCAAGCTTTGCCACCTAGTTACAGTGGCCACTGAGAAGTAGAGTGGGAAGCTTATAAGCCACAAGTCCGTGCTGTGAGGCACTTGCTATGTTCACATCCTATCGGTGGACTTTGAGGTGGCAGAAAGGCATGAGCACCCCCAGAACAGCGGCTGCCATTTAGGGACATTTGCCACATGTGGGACCCTAATTTAAGCACACTGTAAGCACCACTGGGTCTCAGCCATGTGTGACCTGGGGAAAGAGGCATTCCTTCCTCTCCCTGTGTCACAGCTGAGGCCATGGAGGCTCAGAGCTTCAGTGACTGGCTTGTGAGTGGCAGAGCCAGCATTTGGATCCAGACCCATGACACAAGCTCTTAGCTTTCATGTCATACCTCATTGCCCTAGAGGTGACCATCACTGTTGACCAGGCAGTCACCCATTTTGCCGGGTGGGAAACTGAAACTGATGTGGCCCATCCAGGGTCACACAGAGGATGCCCAAATTAAGGTTACAGTCTGTGCTGGCTCCTCTCCATCCTCGCACCTGCCCCAGAGCCTTGGGTCATCCCTTCTCCTTCCTTCCTAGACACTCCTCTGTGTTCTGAGGGGCTCTGTGTGTGCCACTGTCTCTCCCCTGACCTTTCAGCTCCCCGGACCACCAGGTCCCTAGTCTGGTTTGCACCGAGTGAGGACTCCAGTTAGCAGCAGGTGCTTAGCCTCTCTGAAAGATGTCATGACAGCTCCCCACAGGCCATCTTGGTCCTATGAAGTTGTGTGATGTGGCCCTTAGGTCACACCCTCATCTCTTTGGTCTTGTGTGTGTGGTTTTTTTGTTTATTTAGGTTATAATGAAATCGAAGCATCTCCAGGAAGTTTTATCCAGGGCAGATCCCCAGAAAGCTCTCCGCCACTTCAGAGCCATCAAAAAATGGCAGAGCAAGCATTCCAACACCCTGCAGAGAAGAGGTGCCTTCTTGAGCTATTGCCAGAAAGTTCAGGCAGCTGTGAGAGCCTCAGACCTCCAGGGTGAGAATCAGCATGGACGCAGCCCTGGGACTCAGCAGGTGACTTGAGGGGCTGCCCCTCCAGTGCTCAACGCATACAGGTCTCAGTCGGGGTGAGAGAATGAGGGTTTTTCCCCCCTAATAGAAGGTATAATAATGAAATCTGGCTTCATTCACTGTCAGGAAACACAGGGCACTCAAGTAGCGATGTAAGGAGAGCACTCTGTATACAGAGGTTTGGGCAGGGTTTGAGGAAACTAACCAGGACTGTTAACTCTGGTTCCACACCACCCCAGGCATGAAGGAGCAGGGAGGTGGCTGTGGGCAAAGGCCACCTGATGCGTCCTTAGTAGAGGGATGTGGCCTACTCAGAGGCTCCTTCGAGAGGGTGGGAGAGAAATGCCAGGTTCACTCTCCATCTTCCTCTCTGCTGCTGGGACCTCCCGTTAGCCAAACAGCTGGGAACCGAGGCAGGGGTGCACTTTGTTTTATTTTTTTAATAATAATTTATTAAATTTATTTAATGGTTAATATGAACATGTAGGTTTCAGTTGTGGGTTTCTATGTTACAAGACCTGTATATTGCTCTGTGTGCCCAAAATCATATCTTCTCCCATCGCATATATTAAGACCCCCTTTCTTTTGGCAATCACCACACTGCTGTTTGTGTCCATGAGTTTCAGTTTTATATCCCACATGTGAGTGAAAGCATATGATTCTTAGCTTTTTCTGCCTGACTTATTTCACTTAGCATATTTTCCAGCTCCCTCCATGTTGTTACAAATGACTGTATTTCCTCCTTTCTTATGGCTGAGTAGTGTACATGTCCCACGCCTTCTTTATCCAGCCTCTATCACAGGACACGGGTTGTTTCCATATCTTGGCCACCATGAATAATGCTGCAGTGAGCGTAGGGGTGCATATATCTTTGTGAATACATGTTTTTAAGTTTTTAGGGTATATACCCAGGAGAGGGGTTGCTGGTCAGATGGTAGCTCTCTTCTAAATTGATTGAGGAATCACCAGACTGCTTTCCATAGTGGTTATACCAGTGTGAATGAGGGTTCCCTTTTCTCCACAACCTCTCCAACACTTGTTATTACCTGTTTTGTTGTTAAGGTGTGAGGTAGTATCTCATTGTAGTTTTGATTTGCATTTCCCTAATGAGGGTTGCGCTTTGAAGCAGCTGCTGCGCGACGGCGTGGGCCATAGGGTGTGTGAAAGCCCAGGTCAGGGCAGACCGATCGCCTGGCTTGTGGTGACTGTGTCCTGGTTGGCCTAGGACAGTCGTGGCTTCACCGCCTGTTCTAGCATTATTATCAGTAGTGCCCTGTTTTATTCTAAAAGAATCCCAGTTTGGACATTAACCACCTGTGCCTGAGGGGCCAGGACGAAGAGCTCATGGAGTTGTAGTTAAGCAGCAAGCCCTGGGACGGATCGGGTTTCTCCGTTTTCAGTGTTGAGCTGGCTTTCTCACTGCTGTCAGCATTCTGTCTCTCCCCAGCTCGCATTTGAAGCCAGTGTGTTTGATTCCCTTTATCCTACTGGCTGTCCCAGGAAAAGAGGCCTATTCTTGGTGTCTCCAGTATGGCTGAGCCCTGCCCTTCCTTTCAGATGCTGAGGATGTGGGGCGAGTTAGATGAGCAGAGCCGAAGGAAATACCAGAAGAGGGCAGTTCCTTGTCCTGACCCCACCCTGTCCGTCTGGCGCCCAGACATCTACTTTGCCTCGGTGTCAGAAACCTTTGAAAAAAAGATGGATGACTACAGTTGCGAGTGGGCATCTAAAGCAGAGAAGAGTTATGAGAAATCAGAGCTTTCTCTCGACAGGTAATGGCATCGATGTGTTGCTCGGTGCATGCAGAGGGAAATCTGCTGTCAGGCCCTTCCCTACCCGCTCCAGAAGAGGAGGGCAGCTCCTGGGCTCGAGACTCCAGCAGGAGGGAGGGAGGTGAAACAGAAAGGCAGCTTGCAAGCCCTCTGGGACAAGAGATAAGAGGCAAGAGCAGGTGGACGTCCCCATCCAGGCCAAAACAGAGAAGAGCTCTGCTGGGGCAGGGGCTCTCAGAAATGACCCCTCTTCACTTTGGTGTGATGGGCGTGGCTATTTCAGAGTCAGGGAACCTCATTGACATTCAGTGGCTGTTGACAGGGTCCAGGGACTGCAGCAGGGAGATGGGACTCATTAGAGACAAGGAACGAAGATATTGGAGGAAAGGGACAGGACTCTCTCTTTTTACCCCTTAAAGTGGTTTCTCCAGCCAGGCCTCTGAGATTCCCAGGTAGAACAAGTCGCAGGTTATCACAGCTGCCAGCAGGGCTTGCCCTACCAGAGGAAGTCCTGGGTTTGATTGCAGCCAAGGGCACATACCTCAGTTGCAGGCTTAATACCTGGCCCCAGTTGGGCACANTCTTGGCCTGCAGACCGAAGGGTCTGGGTTTGATTCCCAGTCAAGGCCAGGTACCTGGGTTGCAGGTTCTCCCCCCCCAGTAGGGGTGTGCGCAGGAGGCAGCCAGTGGATGTGTCTCTCCCACATTGATGTATCTCTCCTCCCCCCTTCCACTCTCCCCAAAAAGCAATGGGAAAAATATCCTCAGATGAGGATTAAAAAGAAGAAAATATCTGAGGGTTTAAAAAAATAAATAAGTAGATAAGTAAATAAGTAAAAAAAAAGGAACTTGCATAGAAACGTAGTTTTGATGCTTTCTTCTGCATCCACACACTTGTCCATTTAGCCTCCGTTCGTTGAGCCCTTCCTTGTTCCACGCCTGAGGGTACGACAGTATTCCCGTGGCTGTTCTAAAAGGAGGAATGACTAGTAATTACAAAATTGTATAGCACGCATACTTCTGACATGGCAACATTTTCACTAATTAAGAAAGCAAACCCCCCCACCACTTGATCCCCATGTCCCCACAATTGCTTAGTGAGCCTCTTCCTAGTTCATGCAGCAGGAGGTTTAAGTCCTCTCCAGACTGTCACTGCCGGGGGGGCGGGGGGGG